TTTTACTATGACGACTTGTCAAGATAATCTATCTCGCCATGTCGACATGATATGTATATTATGTCGACTTGACAACATAAATTATCTTGACAAGTCGTCAAGTCGAATGGCACTTAGGTGCTTCCGTAGACTTGAGACCTGAAGATTTAACAGATGCATTGGTTTGATTGATTTCTGGGCCCTTTCTTAAATATTAGAATGCCGACATTATAACCAGGGAGATGCAAAACACGCTCATCTGTCCCTGTTAGTGTTATAACCAGAGTTGATTTTGCAGCATGGGAGATTTTTTTATTTATTTATTCAACACTAATTTGAGGAGGTAGCTCAAACAGCAATGCTACAGAAATTATGAAATTGCAAATCAATCTTCAAATTTAATTGTCGCTAATAAATATTTTGAAACAAAATTTTTTCCTGTCTGTGGGCTAGTAAAATAGTCTGTGGGCTAGTAAAATCTCTAGTAAACTAGCCCAGTGGGCTAGTTACCAAAAAAAGTTAGGGCAAGCCCTGTTGTCTGGTATTACAATGCATACTTTTACAGAGTATTAATATGTTAAGCCAGTGTGATGATTACCACAAAGCATACAGTGTATTAGAGTTAATAAGATGGTTATCACAACAATTGTATGCAAAAAAATGGACAGTGGGGTGGGGTAGGGGAGTCTTCATCAGGGAGAAAAAAAAATCAGGAAAAAATTTGTCAGGTAAAAGAATAATCTTTTCAAAATACAAACCTTTCAGTTTCTAAATTGGATGGACGTTTTTTTTTTAGTCTGTACACCTAGGAATATATTATTACAGTATTGTGATGCAATGTATAGTATTGGGTATTTAAGACTGGCTTTCATAATATTAGGCCAATGTCAATATGACCGGATACGAGAACAGTAGCTCATTCAGAATGCATGTAAAGACCTTAAACTTGGGTAGCACTCGTAGCCTACATGCTCAGCAAAATAATTCATAATGTTGAGAATTTTTTTAATTATTATTTATTTATTTTTTTTATTTTTTTAAAAAATAATTTTCATATTTTTTTATTTATTTAAATAATTCACAGTATTGTCATTTTAAAATTTAGGCCTCGGACCTAAATAAACTATGGTGGGTATGGATGTAAATAAATCAGGCAGTATAAATGCTATTCACAAAACTTTGTACCTTTACAGGTGTTTGCAAATCTCTGCCCAATGCAGCAATATACTGTTGAAAGTAAATGAGACTATTTTTTGCTGCCTTGGGATAATCAATGCCATTAATAAAGTAGCAACAAAACATGATGGCCATTTTCTTATGTATATAATACCTACTGTACTATATATAGGCCTATTTCGGTTATGCTTTGCAGTTTCACACCACAAAACCTCCATACCGCCATCACAACATTTTTTTTGGTACGGTATGTCATGCCTAGTTGGCTCAAGTATGTGTGAGATTGTAGATTTCACACCACAACCTTGCATTCACTCCAGCACCAGCATTTCCCTAGCCTATAGCTACCTTATTTCAGAAGTGAATTCCAGATATAGAATGCAAATTCTATTTTTCAAGCTTTCCTAATTTTTATTTTTAAGGTAGGGATTTATTTTATACTAGAAAAACTGTAACATATCCAGTGAATAGATGATGCATTATATTTGTCCTCTAATCATTAGTTGTAATAACTGACCATAGAAGTGTTTGTCATATTAATTATTAAGTAATACGTTTTTATCCGAATAAACATTTGAATTGTTAATGCTGCTTTGTTTGTGCTTTTATTTTTGACACAGGTGAAAATTAGCATTAATAGAATAGTGTAATGCAGTGTAATGAGTATGTAGGCTAAGTAATCCATTCTTAATTCCCAACCACTACCCAGTACATATTTACTACTAATTGTTGAATGTTGAACTTGTGTAGTGTTAAGGTGCTGATGTGAACCAGCTAATGTTCTGATGTGAACCTGCTAAAGTGTTGATGTGAGCCTGCATAAGGTTCTGATGTGAACCTCCAAAGGTTCTGATGTGAACCTGCAAAGGTTCTAATGTGAACTTCCTAAAGCACTGATGTGAACCTGCTAAGGTGCTTATGTGAACCTGTTGAGTTGCTAGTGTGAACCTGGGTGCTGATGTGAACCTTCCAAGGTGCAGATTTTAACCTGCTAAGGTCCTCATGTGAATCTGCTGAGGTGCTGATTTCAACCTGTAAGGTGCTCGTGTGAACCTGCTAAGGTGCTGAGTTGAACCTGCTAGATGCTTATTTGAACCTTATAAGGTGCTCATGTAAACCCAAGGTATGAAAATGCACCTTTAGTGTGCTAAAATGAACCCCAATAAGGAGCTTTTCCGACCACAGTTTGCACCTTCTGTCAATCATGGCATAATTAAAGGGTACAATTTAGAACCCCAAAGGAGCATTACTGTACACTGTTAAAAATAAAGGTGCAACTAAAGGTGCAAAGATAGAAAATGGTGCACAGTTGCACCTTTTTCTTATAAAAAGGTGCAGAGAGGGTGCAGAGTTCAAATAATCGATTAAAAGGCTCATCTTTGCACCTTTTGTTATCGGAAAATGAAGATGGTGCAAAAATGTACCTTTTTATAGTAGAAAGGAACAAGTCTAGCTTTGTCAAATGCTATAGTATTAGTTACAAAACATGTTCTGTTTGGGTTTCATACCAGTGTTCGACACAGAAATGTGGTGTATTACCTTGAAAAATGTTTCAATATAGGCCAGCATTAATTTCTTTAGACAAGCAGGTTCTGTAAAGCCTATTTGATTTGGTTGAGTATCTGTAGGGCCTACAATAACGGAGAGCGTCATTGAATAAAATTAAGCAATGACAGATTTTTCATGGCTTTACATCAGTGCTAGCAGTGCTAGTCCTACATGAAGTAAGTAGGCCTATATTTAAAATGAAAAACCACTGGTAGTCCTTCACTTATCCTATTATCATGAAACAGTTAAATGGATATACATAAAACACGGGTGATTTAGTTGCCGTGTGGTAAAAAAAAAAAGGGCATGATTGACTCAGAAGGTGCAACTTCAAGTGGTCTGAAAATCTCATTGGGTTCATTATTACCACATCAAGGGTGCAAATTCGTAACTTGGGGCTCAACTTAGTACTTGCAGGGTTCACAACAGCACCACAAGGTTCAAATCAGCACCTACAGAGGTAGGTCCACTTGAGCAACTTAGCAAGTTCACATGAGTACCTTATCAGGTTAACATAAGTACCTTTAGCAGGTTAAAGCTTGGTTTCCATAAAATCGCTATTCGCTAATTACCCACAGCTTTTAGTTGGTGTCCAAACATCGCTAACACCTTCGCCAACAGTGCATGTTGAACTTGGTTCAACCGTTGCAGACAAAACAGAATCATGTGCCCACCCCGCCACCCCGATTCGTCTGCAATGCAATAATCAGCAAAGTTGAACCAACCAGGTTCAACCTTCCCGACAACTATCGGCGACTGTCGCCGATAGGGTTACGATTTTATGGAAACCAAGCTTTGTGCTGATTGGTCGGTCGAATCAGGGAGCCTTCCCGACTGCGTCGGGGCTGCTACGCGTTACAACGTCGTTACAAATATTAGGCACCTTGGGTAATCACAGTACCTTACGGGTTCAAATCAGCACCTAACAGGTTTACATGAGCCCATCGCCTGGTTGAAATTGGCACCTCGGCAGGTTCGCATGATTGGTTAGTAAATCCACCTTAGCAGGTTCACATGAGCACCTCAGCAAGTTCACATGTGCACCTTATTAGCAAAAATAACAGTTAAATCTCGTCGTGTGCGGCGGGCTTTAAAGAAGTGCACGCGCGTACGACGAATGACAGTTAGGCGCGTGTAATGTGTGCGGGCAGGCTTTTTTCCCCGCCGGCGGCTGAATGAAATCAGACAGTTGACGACGCACCCTCTGTTTATATGCACATATGTCTTGTCTAACCTCATTACTGTTTCAAGTCTGGTTGTGACGTCTTTCCATCAAAAGTCGAAACATTTAAATTGGTCGGTTGTTCTTCTTTTCATCAGTCATTTGGCCATAACAAAACTGCGTAAGTTAAATAGGCCTAGACCAAACCTAGGCCTATGCTACCTATAGGCCTAGCCTAGGCCTAGGCTAGGGTAGGCCTAATAGTAATAGGGGACTATCAGATAGATAGATCCCCAGGCACCCGCCCGTAGCCTGGCCCTACGCCTAGGCTAGGCTTACTTTAAGCAAAATTAATTAAATTCGTTAAGGCCAGCCTAGACCTATAATAGGAAGACTTCTTGGGCACTGATCAGTCACTGTCTTCTGCTAGAATATTTTGACAGAAAACTTGGAAATGTAGACAAAAAAAGTTTCTTTTCATATGTACCTCTAGCCTAGGCATAGGGCCTAGGCTAATAATACGCTTGACAAATGTAGGCCTATGCCTAGAAATTATATCCTGTATGGCATATCAACA